TATTTTACATCAGTGAAGTAACACTGAAAATTAAGCCCTATAATACAGATCATCCCACCCTTATATCATATCAATTGTAGCAAACCAAGAAATCTGCTTAATAATATCTTCACATTTCTTCCATGTCCAGAGGACATCTCAAAGCGCTTTCCAGTATACTGTAAGGTGTAATGACTATGTATTTGGTAGGTAAATGCAGCAGTTTATCTATACCCAGGAGTGTCCCACAAACAACCATAAAGTGAATGACCAATTTTATTTGGGGCCAAGACATTAGGATAAGATCCTTCTCTTTTCAAATAATGCCATGGGATCCTAAACATCCACCTGAACAGGCAGATTGAACCTCGGTTCGACTATTGCACTGACATCATCTATGCAGTTCAGCATTTTGAAAACTTTTATTGTACAGTTAAGTTATTGCTGGGTTCTGAGACTTTATAGAAACTTTATAGAAACTGTGCTGTCATTCCAGTTGCTTTGAAAATTGTTATTTCAGTTAATGTATCTTGATCAAAGGTAAAATAAGGCGTTCAAAGTAGAAAGTGGCAAGGCCCTTCATAGCCTTGCCCCTTTCCATCTCTGTGACCTGCTAACCTCTTATCAACCTGACCACTCTCTCCGCGCAGCGGGCTCCGGCCTGCTACACGTCCCCTGCTGGCTTGCCCCACCATCGGCATTTGGGCCTTCAGCTTCTCTGCCCCCACCCTCTGGAACTCCATCCCACATTCCCTTCGCCTTGCTCCCTTGTCTCCTTCTTAGAATTTACACTTTTTGTATAATGTTAGAATCATAATAGATGTCGCGAACAGGTTAACTTTTAAGTTAAGTGTGGGGGGCAACTGGACTGACAGTCATGAGATAGTTCACATCTGGTTTTCTCTGTTTTTGAAAGAATAACAGGACAGCTTTGGAAAAAGGCAGGGGGTCACCTCTTATCAGTAAATGACAACACGCCCACAGAGATAATGCTCCAAGGTACCGGTCGACACAGGATCTCGACTGAGCAATAAGTCGCTAGATTCTGACAGGCGAGCGACAGAAGGCAACCCTCAAGAATAGCAACTAATGAGCAAGTTGCTTAAACTAGAGGGCCTTGGTACCATCCCGGGATACTGATAAGGAATAACCAGTCACTTAAAAGGAATGTACTCATGATCCCACCTTACAAAATAACAAGCATCAGATAACAGGGGTCTTAAGGACAATGTGTATGTGGGCTGAGGCACGTACACCCCATGAGGTGTTTACGTGAACCCAGCATGATTTTGACCAGGTGATCTAATGTCCGCACCATGATTGGATGAACATCGGTATAAGAGTTCCGTTAACTTTGTGAACGGGGCCGTCCCGGGTCGTGGAGACAAGGATACGGGAGATGGGGCCGTCCCGGGTCGCGGAGACAAGGGTACGGGAGATGGGGCCATCCCAGGCTGCGGAGACAAGGGTACGGGAGATGGAAGACTGAGAGCTAGAAACAGTAAGACTGAGGATATCAGATGGAAGATTGAAAGCTGTAAGAAGACTGAAAGCATGAAGAATCAAAATCAAGCCTGTGTGTTGTAAAGACACAGTGTTGAACTCAAGATATCTATAGTGGTGCTATTCTGTTATAAGATCTGTTGATCTGTGGTCTAACCCATCGGGATATTGGGGAATAACGAATGAATAATAATAAAACAGTCTGATGTCTGGTTAAAGAAATTAGCGTTATTTCCTTACAGATTTGGCTGATTTTATTTTCTAACAATTTGGGATTTGTCAGGATACTCTGAATTAATACACTCGGCAGTTGATGTGCTTATGAGTCCGGTACGACCATAACTAGTAGATAGTTGGGACGGTGGCCGTGGTACTCGCAGAAATAATGTGTCCGGTACGACGCAGACTTCTCTTCCCTGCTCTCCTCACTCAACCTCTCCTTACACATAAACTCCCCCACTCACAGTCACGGCCACCCACTCGATTTGGTGATCACCCGGGGCCTCAGTGTCTCGGATGTCACTATTACCGACAAGGCCATCTCTGACCACCACTTCATCTCCTTCACCACCTCCACCCCCCTCCCCACCTCCACCAGACCCACCACCATCTTCTACCGCCCTTGGAAGAAGTTACCCCCACAATCCCTAACCGATGCCTTGGAGTCCTCTGAACTCCTCTCCCTCTGGCCTTCAACCCTCACCGACCCCTCTTCTCCTCTCTCCCTCCTCCACAATACCCTCTCCTCCACACTCGATACTCTTGCCCCCATCACTTCCCGCACTGTCTCCTACTCCCGCTCCTCCCCCTGGTACACCACCCACCTCCGCTCACTGAAAAGCCAGGTGCGGGCTGCTGAACGCACCTGTGTCAAATCTGGCCTAACGGTCCACCGACAAATCTGGCTGGACCTCCTCAAAATTTACCGCTCCACTCTAGCCTCGGCCAAGTCGTCCTTCTACTCCAGGATAATCCTGGAGGCGAAGAACAACCCCAGGCTACTGTTTTCCACCACAACCCGACTCCTCCGTCCCCCCCGCCACCCCGCGCAGGTCATCTCCTCCAACCTTCACTGCGAGGAGATGCTGGATTTCCTTGAATCCAAGATCAAGGGAATCCGCTCCGCGGTCACTTCCCCTCCAACTTCCACCCACCACCCACCCCTTCCCTCCCACACTCCGACTCCTACCCATCCTCCCCTACACACCTTCGTACCCGTTTCCCCACCCTCTGTCACTGAACTCATCCTATCCCTAAAACCAACCACCTGCTCCCTTGACCCCATCCCCACTCCACTCCTTATCTCCCAGCTCCACTTTCTTGCCCCACATATCACTGACATCATCAACCTGTCCCTCTCCTCTGGCTCTGTCCCCATTCCATTAAAAACTGCCATCATCACGCCCACCCTGAAAAAACCCTCCCTTGATGCGTCGCAGCTATCAAGCTACCGGCCCATCTCCAACCTCCCCTTTCTCTCCAAGGTCTTGGAAAGAGTTGTCGCCTCCCAACTGCGCTCTTTCCTTTCCACCCATTCTCTTTTCGAACCCCTTCAGTCAGGTTTCCGTGCTGCCCATAGCACAGAAACTGCCCTGGTCAAGGTCACCAATGATATCCTGACCATCTGTGACCAGGGCTCCCTCTGTCTCCTCGTCCTCCTCGACCTATCGGCAGCATTCGATACGGTCGACCACGCTATCCTACTCCACCGCTTGTCCTCCCACCTCAACCTTCAAGGCACTGTCCTTGAATGGTTTAGGTCGTACCTTTCTCACCGTCTTCACTTTGTCTCGACGAATGGCTTCTCCTCCACCCCCCGCACTGTCTCATGTGGTGTCCCTCAGGGCTCTGTCCTTGGTCCCCTCCTCTTCACCCTCTATATGCTCCCCCTTGGTGACATCATCCGCAGACATGGAGTTAACTTCCACATGTATGCGGATGACACCCAACTCTACCTTTCCTCCTCTACTCTCAACTCCACGACCACCGATGTCCTGACAGCCTGCCTGTCCGACATCGAGTCCTGGACGAGAGACAACTTTCTTCAGCTCAACGTGCGAAAAACCGAGGCCCTCCTGATTGGCTCACGTCAGCGCCTCCGCACCTCAGGCGCTGACACCATCAGCATCCAAGGCTGCACTCTCCACCTCTCAAAGCCAGTCAGGAACCTCGGCGTTTTGTTCGACCCTGAGCTGTCCTTTCTCCCTCACATCCGCACCACAACTGGCACCGCCTTCCATCACCTCCGGAACATCACCAGACTACGCCATTACCTCACCCCTCACGCTGCTGAAACCCTGGTTCAGCAGCGTGAAACCCTGCTGAAACCCTTTGTCACCTCAAGGCTGGACTATGGGAACTCTCCCCTCGCCGGCCTTCCCACCACCTCCCTCCACAAGCTGCAGGTCATTCAGAACTCTGCAGCTCGTGTACTGTCCCGCACCAGGCTTCGCGACCACATCACTCCCACCCTCGCTCGCCTCCACTGGCTCCCCATCCCCCAGAGGATCGATTTCAAGATCCTCATCCTCACCTACAAGGCCATTCACGGCCTTGCTCCCTCCTACCTCTCCGACCTGCTATCCCCCTACCTACCTGTCCGTACCCTCCGTTCCTCTGGCTCCGGTCTGCTCCACGTCCCCCGCCCCAACCGCCCTACCATCGGTGGTCGGGCCTTCAGCCTCTCAGCCCCGAGGCTCTGGAACTCCATCCCCCAGTACCTTCGCCTTGCTTCCTCCCTTTCCTCCTTCAAGGCCGGTCTCAAAACCTTTCTCTTTGACCGTGCCTTCAGCTCCCCTCTCGACTCTCTTCCCCCTCCTCGCTCCCTCCCTTCCCTCCCCTCACCCTGACCATTTCCCCCCGCCTCGCTCTCTCCCTTCCCTCCCCTCACCCTGACCATTTCCCCCCTGCTCGGGTCATGACCCAACTGTGCAGCGCCTTGGGACGTCCTCCTGACGTGAAAGGCGCTTTATAAATGGAATCTTGTTGTTGTTGTTGATTGTAACTAGTAGATAGTTGGGACAATGGCCGTGCCTGTGGGCAATTAACCGAGTGTATTAACCCATTGGGATTCTGAGTATTAAAGAACCAATATAATCCATTCGAGCGAGTGTCTCTTATTTGGATTTTCCAGCATCCTTGAAGGCATGTCTCAAGACTCCTCTTCAACCGTGCTTTCACCCACCCTCCTTCCATCCCTGTCCTCTATCCTCCCTTACCCCAATCCCACTACCCCACTCCCCCACCCCTTGGCTCAGATCCAAATCCCTGACTGTCCAGCACTTTGGAACTTCCTCCCGCCGTGAAGTGCGCTATTCAAATGTGATTTTGTATTGTATCTATAACTTGCTATTTGCAAACACAGTGTCTCTTTAGAGTGTTTCTTAAAGTTGGAATGTCTCAAAATTTATATGTGGTAATTTCATTACTTGTCTGCTTAATTATAATCCAAAGTTTTTTTTATATTTGTATTTGTACATTTAAAAATAAACGCTAATTCATAAAACTAGGAGTCATTCTTACCTGAACATCTTTATTGATTAATCCAACTGCACAAAGGCTGACCAATTTCTAATATACAATAGAAATATGATAAATATTCCACCACCCCATAATAATTTGAAAAGTATATAGAATTAATGTATGCCTAGAAGGACTTTCTGTTTACTTTCAAGTGACATGAGATTAATAGGAATAAGACAGAAATGACAAAATTGAATGCACTCTTTCAAGTATCATCGTCCTAGGTTCCAGAAATTAATTGCTTGCATACAACAGACATTTGCTACTTAATTTCACAGACATTGCACTGGCATGACTTCAAGGAAGTATATTCATAATTTGTAGTAGTTCCATTGACACAGTGAAGTGTTGCTATTTCCACTGTAACATCATTTTCTTGGCAGCATTGGCAGTTGTAATCCATGTCATTTGTGTACAGGCTAATTCTGAAAGAAATAATAATTTTATAACAACAATTTGCATTTATAAAGTGTCCCTCATGCAGGTTAGCCTCCCACAGCATTTGACAGTGTCAGGGCAGAACGCCAACCTGGGGGGAAGGGAAGGTGACCATAGGCATGGTGGAATATGAAGGTCTTCAGGCGTGACTTGAAGATGGGGAAGGAAGGAGCAAGGCAGAGAGAGAGAGAGAGAGAGAGAGTTCCAGTTTTGCGGTGTAGAAGCTGAAAGTGTGGCCACCAATGGTGGTATGGAGGGTCATGCAGAAGGCCTGAGCCAGTCGAGCAGAGGCAGCAGGTTGTGGATTGTGGGGGTAAGCAGGTCGGAGAGGAAGGGAGGTGCCAGGGCATGAAGGGATTCGAAAACGAGCGTCAGGATCTTGAAATCGATCCATTCAGCGATAGGGAGCCAGTGAAGCCTGGCTAGGAATGGTGTGATGTGGGTATGGAGTTTAGTACTGATGAGTATCCAGATGACAGAGTTTTGGATCAGCTGGATTCTGTGCATGATGATACATCACAATATGCAAAATCTATTAGTTTTCCACAATACAACATTTGAGTCACATTAAATTAAACTGTATCAAAGTTCCATTGTGCCAAGAATGGAATAGAAGGTTTAACCTGTTCAAGACCAAAATGTATCACAGATATAACAAACATGATCTAAACAGCAATACAGTTAAATATGGTGCCTGCACGCACTCCGAAATACTAACTCAAGTACAGGGTGATACATAATTACAAGTTGCTGTTACTGTTGCAAAACACTTATAGTAATCATGCTTGGCGAAATGTCCAAAGTATTGGGAGCTAGTATTCACTTGGGCTGGGGAATCAGGCTGGTCAGGGACTGGTCTCTTCATAAGTTTCAAGACCACTCTGCAGGCAGGACTTGGGCCCGTACTGCAGCTGTGACCCTTGTCCCTCTAATATTGGGATTCCAAGCCACTCACCTATTGGGACTCATTGAGTTTCTCTCTCTAAACATTTGGCTTCAAAAGTGTTCCTTTCATTACATCCGATTGTGACCTCAACCAACCTAAAACTACATTACCCTTTGTCTGTTTCAACCAATGCAAAATGATACTCCACCCAACTCCTAACTATCCAGCTTAATGTTGCCCAAAAGTCTCTTTAGAAGGATTAACCTCCTCCAACATATGATCTTGTGTTAGGGTACAAATTTAAAAAAATGTTCAGATTGAAGATCAGGAGGAAAGTAATATCAAATGGATTTTAATAAACATAAGGATTTTTAAAAAATGTTTCTTTCTCTTAACGTTTTTCCCCTGAAGTGGCAGACTCACACTTGGGAAATGGTTCAATGAACACCAGACTAATCTTGTCATGTTATCCAAATGTCTACTCTTCAGACATGAGACATTCTATTTGCACATAGTTCACAGTGAGAGAATGTGGGATTACAGCTGAGCCCATTTCTTCCTCAGCTAATAGTCACACACTTACTTTACAGCAGCTGTCATTGGACACACATTTAGTGTGACTGAAAAATATTCTATGGGGATACTGGCTCATTTTACCTCCTCCCTGGAACAGGGCATCAATGCCCATTGTAGTGGTTCTATACTATCCAGCTGAAATCCACTTACTCAACACAGACAAGGAATCTAAATTCTTGTTGAGAATATGACCAGAAGAGCAGAAAGTACAACTGATGTATATTTACAAACAATTTCCAGAAATAGACAACTTTGTGCATTTCACATGGTAAGGTTTCAAGGAAATAATACCTCAATCAAGCAAATGAAGACTGTTTGAATTTCTTTAGCATTTGCATAAATTAGCCTATATTTTTCATTGGAAGTCAATAATATTTCGTTATTCTTGTTTAATTTAAAACAAAAATACTTACTTAGCAAAAGAGTTACAATACCCATGACAAATGTTCACTTCAAGTTCTGCTGAACAATTATCTTTGGAAATCATAATTTGTTGAGATTCAATGGTGCAGTTATCTATTGTTGAAAAATAAATTAAGTTGCATTGTAAAAGAAAATTAGTAAAACAAATTGCTATAAGAATTTATGGAAACATCAATTGTTCACTCTTATGGAATATATTTTAAATATTCAAAGCAAAATGAATGATAATTGATATTTATTAATAGCAAACACTGTGCATTACCATAATGCCAATAAGCTATTCTACAAACCATGTTTAAGTTGTTAAGATTAATTGCTATGTTGATTTGTAACATCTGTTTCTCGACCCCTAACATAGCCCAAATCAATGTTAATCAGACTTGATTCTCCAGCACTCTCTTCATCTGGTTGTCTAAACTCAACTGTCCATAAGCGACAGCTCATACAGAATTCTGCATTCAGTATCATTTCATATATTTAGCTCAGCAAATCTATCATGTCCATTCTTCTCAGGCTCCACTGCTCCCTGTACCCTATTTAAAACTCACTTCTTCAATCTCACTTTTAAATCCCTTTACACTCAGAGCGTTTAACAGTGGCAAAGCCTCACTCCGAGCCGGGGGGGTTGGGGTGAGGGAAGGTGGCCGTAAACACGGTCGAAGAAGGTTTTCAGGCAGATTTTGAAAAACGGGAAAGAGGGGGCAAGATGGAGGGATTGAGGGAGAGTGATCCAGAGTTTCGGGGCATAGTGACTGAAAGCGCGACCACTGATGGTGGGGTGGAGGGTGCGAGGGATGAGCAGGAGACTGGTGCCAGTTGAATAGTCACTGGGTAGTGGATTGGGGAGTGAAGAGGTTGGAGAGGTAGGGAGGTCCCAGAGAGTGAAGGGATTTGAACATGAGTGTGAGGATCTTGAAGTCCATCCATTCGGTGATGGGGAGCCAGTGGAGCCTGGCCAGAACTGGTGAGATGTGGGTACAGAGTTTGGTCCGGGTCAGTATGCGGGCGGCAGAGTTATGAATAAGCTGGATCTTTTGAATAGCGAAGCCTAGGAGGTAGATGAGGTGCTGTTGCTTGTGTTTCATTGGAACAGCCATGAACGAAGAGGTGAGAGTGGACAAGCAACTCTTCTCTCAGCCTTGCCTCCCCCTTTTCTATAACCATTCGCACGTCCTCTGGGTCTCAGACACATTTTTTATTTCTATAATCTCCCACTATTGCCTTCTTTTATCTTGCATTATCAACATTACCCTTTGTCTTTCTTCCCCCACCCCCTTCTCTGTTTGTCCTTATAAACTGTCCATAGATGCTGCCTGACCTGCTGAGTGTTCCCAGCGACCTCTGTTTTTAATCTGACATTGGTGTTGATTTTAACTATTAATCTAACATTACTATATTGCAGAGAAGAATCGTACACAAATATATTGCAGCACTAAGTCATTACCTTCATTTTCACATTCAAAGCAGCAATGAACTGTATCCCATTTCTTATTGGACTGAAAACACAGAAAATCATAGTTAATGCTGTGACTGCTAGTTCAATGTAAATAGCTATGCAGGACAGAAAATTTTTGCAAGACCGAACACATCTGAACTAAATGTGAGAAGTGAAAATATGCAAATCACATGGAATTACAAGTAATCGCTTTAAATTAATACAGCAATTTCATTTTCTAATGTGCTATTGATATCAATTATATTTTTAGGTAAGAGCAATGAATTATTGTCAATGTAGAGCAAAATAGTTATGACATTTGGATTTTTACATACTATAATATTAAGTTACTTTATCTCCTATTGATTCAAATCAGTTTTATCAGTACTATCCCCCTACTTATCTGCCTGTACCCTCCGTTCCTCTGGCTCCGGTCTGCTCCACATCCCCCACCCTACCATCGGTGGCCGGGCCTTCAGCCTCTCAGCCCCTAGGCTCTGGAACTCTATACCCCCGTGCCTTCGCCTTGCTGCCTCCCTTTCCTCCTTCAAGGCCGGTCTCAAGACCTTTCTCTTCGACCGTGCCTTCAGCTCCCCTCTCGACTCTCTACCCCCTCCGCGCTCCCTCCCTTCCCTCCCCTCACCCTGACCATTTCCCCCCTGCTCGGGTCCCGACCCAACTGTCCAGTGCCTTGGGACATCCTCCCGACGTGAAAGGCGCTCTATAAAGGAAATCTTGTTGTTGTTGTTTTGTATATATTGTACGTTTTATCTTCATGTCTCAATTAATTGCTTCCGTAAGAGTTAAAATGGTATCCCATGCAGTCTAGGAGTATCAAAGTTAAGGTCAAGAGGTTCTTGTTCAAATCATCTTGCTTTTGAGGTTGACAAAAGTACATTTAAAAAAAAATCTGCCATAGGAATGCTGATAAACCAGTCTCCAAAAGGGTTGAACTGGCTTGAAAAAGCAAATCTGTAGCAAATTCAGGCATATTTTCAGTAATCTGAGGCATGCTGAAACGTGGAAACGAAGACATACTCTCAAACCAAAGATCTAATAGCTACATTAAACTAGGTCATGGGAAAAAATAAATGGACTAAAAATAAATGTGCACTTGACTGTACGAACCTCAGAGCAGGCAGGTTGGTGTGAGCATTTTATTATTGTTTCTGTGATTGTACCATCTTTACATTTGTAGTGAACACACGTATCATTCGGATGATCCCAAGCTTCTCCATCCTGGAAATGCAAAACACAAATACTGTAGTAAAATAAAAGGCGTTAAATTATACTGCTATAAAGTTTTAAAAAGCAGCATTTATTTCACCATAGAATTATTCTGATAAAATAAATGATAGTGTTCCTTTTAACTTTTTAAATATGTGCTGCCTTCTTCTGAATGTAGCGACTAGTGCTGGAGTAGAGTTCCATGGATGGCTCCCAGGAATCGTGCTTCATGTGTGAACCATCAGAGAGGATGTGACAATGGGACCACAGACATGAGCCCAATCTTGTATATTCAATGTCCACCACGAACACTTTCCAGGAAGAGTCAGTGGATATTGCCCCTCCTCCCCCCGGCTTGGCATCCAACTATATCCTTGCAAAGCACTCCCAGAAGTTGTGCAGTGATCATTACCAGGTGTCCTGGCTGATTATTTATCTCCCTAGCTTAGAGGAAATCTCCAGTGCATAACAAGTCTTTCCTGACTCTTTTCAAATACAGTAAAAGTTGCATATGTTTCATCTTTATATGTTTATATATCATATAATCAATCACCTAAGTCATACATTCACCTGAGTCCCATTCAGTTTCCTATCAAAACCACTTTGATTTTTTTGCCCTACTTGTATTAACCACCTCCTAAATTGTAACACCACTCCCCTACCCTCCATTAATTCCCACATTTACCAACTGCATTGAATCGCAGGAAATGGTGTCCAGACCCATCAAAGCATGCACACTTACTGGCCAGCTGGATTGAATCACAGGAAATGTAGTCTTCATATGTCAACACATGTACAGAAAACTTAATTAAAAGTTAACAAGACTACCATTGAATTGTGTGAAATGTAGACCCGTCACTGTATGCGGATTTACCGATTTACACAGTGTAGATTTTTGATTAAATTCAGTTTTTAATACGATTTTACAGTTTGCCTTTAACCAGGACTTTGCAAAAGTCATATTAAACGTTATGGTCCCGACTGATACAACTTATAAATTTTACTGTATTTATTACTCTGTAGCTACTTAAACCAGCGTGGTTCAACTGGCATCCGGCCCAGGGGTAATTTTATCCGACCCCAAGACCATTTTCAACATTGCAGCCCATTCCGTCCCTCCCTGGTGAACATCCTCCCAGGCAGCGGCAGGAGCCAGCGGTTGGAAAGACGCAGCTCAGAAAGCCTTTACTGTAGTCTGTCAGGAAGGCATGTCTTTTAGCAATCAACCACCAGTTCCTACCATTGTAGATAGTGAAAAGAGAGGATTTGAGGGGGGAGAGATAGGTGGGAGAGAGAGGGGGGGAAATACTGCTTATGCGACCCCCCCTGGATCTTTCTCAAATAGGGAATCCAGCCTCGGCAGCCAAAATGTTGGACCACACTGATTAAACCAGAGTCTATAAAAGCTGTGAATAGCAGACACTTAGAAGAAAAAGCATTACTGCTGGAGACACAGGAGCAAATGTTTTGGAAAATTTGCTACCAATCTAATGTGCAAATATCAAAGGACGCGACAACAGCTTTCAAATACTCACATATCTTAAATTTCCTGAGCTGTCTTTACATCCTAGGAAAGGAAGAAAGACATCATAACTACACGTCTATTGTCCTTGCTCAGTCATGATCATTAGCTAAACGGTTTATTAAAATGTTAATTATAATTAAGAAATATTTTCAGATATCAATATAGAGCTCCCAGCTCCGCTCCTTTCTTTCTCGCCATTCCCTCTTTGAACCCCTCCAATCCGGCTACTGCCCTGCCCACAGCACGGAAACAGCCCTGGTCAAAGTCACTAATGACATTCTGAACATCTGTGATCAGGGCTCCCTCTGGCTCCTTGACCTCCTCGACGTCTCTGCCACTTTCGACACTGTCGACCACTCCATCCTCATACACCGCCTCTTCGCTTTACTCAATCTTCACGGATCTGCCCTTGCCTGGTTCGATTCCTATCTCTCTCACCGTCTCCACTTCGTTGCCTCCAACGGTTTCTCCTCCAGCCCCCACACTGTCACATCTGTCATCCCCCAGGGCTCTGTCCTTGGCCCTCCTCTTTAATATCTACATGCTCCCCCTTGGTGACATCATCCGTAGACATGGGATCAACTTCCACATGTATGCGGAGGACATCCAACTCTATCTTTCTGCTCCACCCTCGACTCCAGGACCACTGCTGTCCTGACAGACTGCCTGTCGGACATCAAGTCCTGGATGAGGGCAAATTTCCTACAGTTGAATGTGAACAAGACTGAGGCTCTCCGGATTGGCTCGCGCCAGCGCCTCAGCACCTCAGGCTCTGGCAACATCAACCTCCATGGCTGCACACAACTCACCAAGCCAGTCAGGAACCTCGGTGTCTTGTTCAAGCCTCAACTGTCTTTTCTTCCCCACGTCCATCCAAGCCATGATCCGCTCTGCCTTCCCTCACCTCCGTATCACCCGAATCCGCCAATACCTCACCCCTCAGGCCCCTGAAACTCGTGTTCATGCCTTCATCACCTCCAGGCTCGACTATGCAAACTCCCTGCTTGTCGGCCTTCCCAACTCCTCTCTCCACAGGCTGCAGCTAATCCAGAACTCTGCAGCCCGTGTCCTCTCCCGCACCAAACTCTGTGACTCATCTCCCCACTCTCACCCGACTCCATTGGCTCCCTGTCCTTCAGAGGATCTAGTTCAAGATCCTGGTCCTCACATACAAATCTCTCCATATCGCCCCACCCTATCTTTGCAATCTCCTAACCCCCTACCAACCCGCCCACTCCCTCTGCTCAGCCGGCTCCGGCCTGCTCCACGTCCCCTGACCCACCCGCCCCACCATTGGCGGGAGAACCTTCAGCCACTCTGCCCCCAATCTCCGGAATTCCATCCCCCAATCACTCCGCCTCGCCCCCTCCTTAGGCTCCTTCAAGTCCCACCTCAAGACCCTCCTCTTCGACCATTCCATCGGCTACCTCTCTTCTCCACCCCTCCTTTCTTCCCCCGACCCCAGCTCGGGTCTGAAATGCTGTACAATGTCCAGCGCCTTGGGACGTCCTCCTGACGTGAAAGGCACTATACAAATGTAATCTTGTTGTTGTTGTAGAGCAACTTACTGGTGCAGGAAGTCACGCACTGTGTCTTATCCTCTGATAATACCATTCCATTGGGACAAAAGCAACCTTCCACAGCAGGGCTAAAGATCTGCCCAGGCATTACAATACTGAAAATAAGGACACAATATTGTTATTATTATTAATTTAATATTGTCATGCAAAATGTTTGCTAAATTTATTTAAAAAAAGAGATTGAATTTTTTTTCAAAAATTAGTGATGAAATAGGAATATACTGTAAAATACTTACTTGTTTTTACAATAATTGTTATCATGCAGTTCACATGGTTTATAGATGAAATCTTTAGGGCAGGCATATTCTTAAAATAATACAAAAATAATCACAGAACAATTACAGCAGAACTTGCAGATATATCAGTTATAGAATTGTTTTTTAACCCAATATTTCAAGAAACTCAATGCAGATTTGTTTTTTTTTACAAGTGATCCAGAGAGCATCCATATCATATAGAAATTTTGGAACCTCAAGGGTCTAATGATCTCCATGTGAGATCTACATGTAAGATTATCTGACCAATTTGAATGAAGTAAATTGGGATAAAAAGACAATTTTTAAAGGAATGATGAAAAAACTAGTGAGATTAACTGGAAATAATATTATAATGCAGCTGTCCTGAACAAGATGTGGAGTCCTGTAGCTCAGTGGTTAGAGCACTCGCTTTGCAAGCGAGAGACCTGAGTTCAATTCCAGACAGGGCGAAACCTTGGGCAAGTTTCCTTACTCCACATGCCTAATAATAATCCCTCCAAAACAATAATAAATTGGTCATTTTCAATCTACGACTGTTTGAGGGACATTGCTATGCGCAATTGGCTGCTGCGTTCGCCCACAAATATACAGTCAAATCACTTTACAGTATATTCTGTGAAGCGCTTTGGGACGTCTAGAAGACGTGAAAAGAGCTATATCAAATGCAAGGATTATTATTATTATAAGATGAATTTCATCATGTTGCACATGCACAATACTCACCACATGATCCATTTGTAAATTTTCTCCAATCTACACATATCCCAGCTCCTTTACATGACATGGCAGCAACTTCCAAACTGGAACAGTCAATCTTTGTAGAATTTATTCTGCAGTGGTCATATTGGCAAGCCTCAAAATAATCTTGAAGTTCTTTCTCCACTTTACATTTCTCCAGTACACTATATGAACACAATGAAATGGTTAAAATATTCTTAAGGAACAATTGAAAAATTTCATTTCTAAAATTTAAAAAAATCCCAAACCACATTGCATCATTTGCCTCCTGAGGCTGGTCAGTTCCAGAGTTTCCAGGTCAGACATTAGGCTGAAAATTTTGATTTTCCCAACTGATTCAATCTCAAATCTGTTATTAAATGTCAATTTTTTCCTATCTATTCTTAAAAGATTGAAGTGTGAACTGTCCCCAGTTGTTGGTGGGTATTTACTGCATTGCTGGAGGTGCGATCCTTTAGATGAGACATTGATGTCCCATCTGTCTTTTCAGATGGATTTTTTCTTAAGTAAATGTTGGGATCCAAGAGCTAAAAGAGTTATAAACAAACCCACATTAAAATGGAGCTGTGTTGTAGCATATTCTACTATTTACACTTTCTAACAGGCAGCTGATGTTATCTGGCTGAGACCATTTCCAACCCCTTCCTCCCTTCCTTGCCAACCGTCCTCTCAGGGCAGTGGCAGGAGCCGGCAGTTGGGAGGATGCACCGCAGAGAGTGGAAATAATGCCGACCATTGCTGTAGTCTGTACCTGAGCTGAGGTACCTGACCAAACGGGTCTCCTTATCCTTATCAGATAGTGACCCGCGCAGCTGATTGAGAGAAGGGTGGTGGGGAAAATGGGAAGGGTGGGGGCAGAAAAGAAGGGTTGGTGGAGAAAGGAGTGAGGGGTAGAAANGGGGGGAGGAAGAGAATGACAGAGAGGGAGAGAAAGGGGGGGAGGTAGAGAAATGGGGGGATACTGATTGAGAGTGAGTGTGAGAGAGGTGAGAAAAGGGGTGTGTGAGAGAGTGTGTGAGAGATAGGGAGAGAGTGTGATTGAGAAGGGTGAGAGAGTGAGGGAAAGGGGAAAGAAGCAGAAAGGGAGAAATAGAGAGTGAGTCAGAGGTGACAAAAGGGGATTGAGAGAGAGAGAATGTGAGGGAGAGGAAAGAAAGAAACAGAGAGTGAGAGAGCAGGGAGTGTGATTAAGAGATGGGGGAGAGTGTGTGTGTGAGACTGGAGAAAGTGGGGGGAAAGAGTGATTGAAAGGGGGAGGAAGTGTGTGAGGGGAAAGAAAGGGAGATTGAGAGAGAGAGAGTAATTGACGCGGGGGAGAGGGAAAGTGATTGAAAGAGAGAATGTAAGGCAACGGGGAGAGAAAGGAACAGAGGAAGAAAGAAGAGAGAGAGATTGAGAGTGTGAAGGACAGGGGAGAGAAAGAAACAGGCGGGAAGAGAGAGAGTGAGAATGTGAGCCGGGGGGGGGGGGGGGGGGAGAGAGAAAGACCCAGAGGAAGGGAGAGAGCAGAGCGAGTGATTGAGAGAGAGAGTGTGTTTGGGAGAAAAGGGTGTTAGAGAGGGAATGAGGAAGAGAGTGCGTGAGAGATAAGGTAGAGAGACCTTCCTAGGGCATCTGGCCCATGGCAGCCACCCTGGTCTAGACTATTTATAGCCTATTATGCACTAATTAGTTTGACCTTGTGTTGCTTCATCGTTGACCAAGATCCATTGCTTCAATTTCTGCAACATTACCTGCTAATCTAATCCCCTCCAAAAAATGAAACCCTATCAATGTTTTTGACACCTTGTTGCTAAATTTCTCCAATATTCTCCTGTGCTCTAACCCTCCATAAGCTCCAATATATCCAAACCATGGCAGCTCATATTCTTTCCTGCATCCACACCTGCTTTACCTCATTCTTGTCAGGCATCACCAACTCCTAGTACCCAATGGAGTTTACCTAAACATCCTTGTCCTGACAAAATGTTTGCAGCAATTATTAATCTGAAACCTCTTTAATCAATAAAACTCAAAACTTTTACCCCTCCATAACATTCACATGGTCCATTTCCTACTTCCCTTCCCTTCCTCAATTTCACCATTTACATCTCAGGGCATAGATTATCAACAGATATCTTTTATAAGCCCACCAACTCCCACAGTTACCTGGGCTACACCTCCCACCCCACTTCCTGTAAAGACTCCATTCCCTTTTCCCAGTTCCTCCGCCTCCGCTGCATCTGCTGTGACGTTGCCATCCTCTACACCAGAGCAGCTGAAATGTCTTCCTTTTTCCTCGACCAAGGATTCCCATCCACTGTGGTAGGCAGGGCCCTTGACAGTATCTGCCCTATTTCCCGCACCTCTGAGCTCACTCCTTCCCCCCTCTTCCCAGAACGTGAAAGGGTCCCCCTAAATTTGCACCATCCATCCCACCAGCCTCAACATCCAACAAATAGTTCTCTGCCATTTCCGGCACCTCCAGCGTGATTCACCCACTAAACATATCTTTCTCTCCCCCCTCAGCATTCCAAAGCGACTGTTCCCTCCGTGACTCCCTGGTTCATTCCTCCATCACCACCAACAATTGCTCTCGTCCCCCCGGCACCTTCCCATGCCAGCACAGGAGATGCAATACCTGCCTTTTCACCTCCTCCTATAATAATAATAATAATAATAATCCTTGCATTTGATATAGCGCTTTTCACGTCGGGAGGACGTCCCAAAGCGCTTCACAGAACACACTATACCACTGTCCAGGGCTCCAAACACAGTTTTCTAGTGAGACAGCGATTTACATGTACTACCACCAATGTAATTTATTGCATTCACTGCTCACGATGTTGTGTCCTCTACACTAGGAAGACAAAACTCAGATTGGGTGGCCGATTTGCCGGACACCTTCATTCTGTCCACAAGCACAACCCTGAGCTTCCGGTTTCTTGCCACTTCAATTCTCCCTCCCACTCACACTCTGACCACAGTCTCCTACCCTGTTCCAATGAGCCACAGCGCAAGCTCAAGGAACAGCACCTCATTTATCTGCTAGGGACCTTACAGCCCTCTGCCCTCAATATTGATTTCAACAAATTCATAGCATAACAGCTCACCTTCCCCCTCCTCCTCTTCTGTGACCATTACCACATCATCTGACCATTACCACATCATCAGACAAACCTTTTCTCTCTCTGGTCTGCCTATTTTGTTGCAATTTCCACCCCCCCTTGTCTTGCTTTATTAACACCTCTATTCCCCTGTCTTCTTGCAATCTGTTTTGCATCATTAACACCTCTTTAACCCATCATGCCTTGTCCTCTACCCCATTTTCTCCTTTGTCTTCCTTGCCTTGGCCGTTAGCCCTTAAAAGCTTCTCCCTCCCAACATGCCCCAGTTCTGACGAAGAGTCGTGGACCCGAAACGTTGACTCACTTTCCTTTCTCCATAGATGCTGCCTGACCTGCTAAATGTTTCCAGCAACTTCTGTTTTTGTTTTAACTCAAGTACATAACAAGGTATTTATCTTGAAAGAAGGTAAATTAGCAATTCACATACCTTCCTGTTAAGACATCACACACTGTTTTCCCAAATTTGCATTCTGGGAGGGGTGGAGGTGGAACACACGGCACATTTGTAGGGGCTGATTTACAATAAGGTTTATTGGGGTCATCAACCTTCCAATCATATGCAGTTTTATGGCAACAGTCAGAAGGCTCAATTGTTCCATTCCTTCTCATGCATTCATCATTTCTATTTCTAGAACAGGATCCTATAAGACAGAAAATATCACAATACTGATATTAAAATGTAATATACTTAACGCAAAAATTATGTTTCTATTATGACGATTTGTTACACATAAGTAGTTAAAAACGTAACATGATGAGAAATCTTAACATTCATAACATTTGTTTGTTAAAAAATCCAACAACAAACAACAAAAATTACATTTGTATAGCGCCTTTCACGTCGGGAGAATGTTCCAAGAGCCTGGCCAGAGATTTGGATCTGAGCTGGGGTAGGGATTGGGGAGGGTAGAGAGCAGGGGGGAAGCAGTGTGATCGAAAGCACAGTCAAAGAGCAGGGTCTTAAGATGGGTCTTGAAGAAGGTAAGGGAGGGGGAGAGACAGAGGGACTGCAGGATGGAGTTCCAGAGGGTTGGGGCAGAGTGGCCCGCCCGCCAATGGTGGGGCAAGCTAGGTGGAGTACAGTCGGAGCCCGCTAAGCGGAGGGAGCGGGCAGGGTGGTAGGGGGTTGGGAGGTCGCAGAGGTAAGTGGGAGAAAGACCATGGAGGGCTTTGAAGGTGAGAACCAGGATCTTGAACTGTATCCTCTGTGTGATGGGTGAGGATGGGAGTGACAGGTTCATGGAGCATGGTGCGGGAGAGGTCAAGGGCTGCAGAGTTCTGGATGATCTGCAGCCTATGGAGGGAAGAGTTGGGGAGGCCGACAAGCAAGGAGTTTGCACTGTGCAATGGAATGAATGTATGAGGGTTTCGGTGGCCTGTGGTGTGTGACAATGGTGGCGCGAGCGATGTTGTGGAGGTGGGGGAAAGCAGAGCGGGCATGGCACGGATGCAGGGTAGAAAGGGTAGTTGAGGGTAAAACAAGACACCGAGGTTCTGGACTGGCTTAGTAAAGTGGAGTGTGCATCCATGGATGGTGATGCTATCAGTGTCTGAGGTGTGGAGGTGATGAGAGGAGCCAATCAGAAGAGCCTCGATCTTGTTAACGCTCAACTGAAGAAAGTTAGCTCTCATCCAGGCCTTGATGTCTGACAAACATTCTGTCAGGACAGCAGTGGTCCCGGAGTCAAGGGTGGAGGCAGAGAGGTACAGTTGGGTGTTGTTAGCATAAGGTGTGCAAAATTAACATACTAACAATGGGTCAAAATGGGTGAGAGGTGATGGAACATGTGATCATGTAATTATGGAGTCAATACAAAGAAAGAGGGTTGAAGGAAACATGTGATTGGATATGTTAATGAGGGTTTGTAACATATTCACCAACCATTGAATGGTGTAAGAGAGGGTATGTAAAATAACAGATTGTAAAAGCAAGACCAATGAGTGGATATACAAATAACAGATTGTAAATGACTGACAAGAGATTGGTGGAAGGTATAGAGAGAGTGGAATGAGAATATAAAGATAGGGACAAAGAACGAGAAGAAGAAAAAGATCGGAGCAGCACAAGTGAAGACGTGATGGAAGATCAAAAGCTTGAATAACCAGACAAGACAGATTGGCACTTCGGCTGCTAAACGTCTCGACCCGCGGTAGCATTGCTTTGTTGTAATCACTCCATATGGTGTAACTTTATGCAGAGTTTGTAAAGTTTGGCTTTACAGACTTTGCCTAAACGGAATGCTTTCTTCATATCTAACATTTGTCGCCCGAGCAGGGACCCAGCGAAGTAAATCTGTTAAGCCAACACGGTAACCGTCAGAGGGACGTGACGGTGTGACTTGCGAGCGTGGAAATGTGTGGTTATACCGTCAGGACTTGACGATATTAATCGAGCATCGACTCGTAAGGGGATACTAATCGAGTGTCGACTCGTTAGTGTTGGAACGGAATTTGAAAACCACTGAGAGTAGAACAAATTGGTAGATAGGATTACAAGAAAAGCTACAATGGAGACCTACGGGTGGCATGAGAAGCTCCAGAGAGGGTTGAACAAGAAGCTACGCGGCCCAATACAGGAGGTATATCGGCAAGTGGAAAGCCAGCATGGGGCAGCTGGGGGCAGCCGGGGGCAGCCGGGGCCAGCGGGGGGCAGCTGGGGGCCAGCTGGGGGCAGCTGGGGGGCAGCTGGGGGCAGCCGGGGGCAGCCGGGGGGCAGCTGGGGGGCAGCCGGGGGCAGCTGGGGGCAGCTGGGGGCCAGCTGGGGGCAGCTGGGGGCAGCTGGGGGGCAGCTGGGGGCCAGCTGGGGGCAGCTGGGGGCAGCCGGGGGCCAGCTGGGGGCAGCCGGGGGCCAGCTGGGGCAGCTGGGGGCCAGCTGGGGCAGCTGGGGGCAGCTGGGGGCCAGCTGGGGGCAGCTGGGGGCCAGCTGGGGGCAGCTGGGGGGCAGCTGGGGGCCAGCTGGGGGCAGCCGGGGGCCAGCTGGGGGCAGCTGGGGGCCAGCTGGGGGCAGCTGGGGGCAGCCGGGGGCCAGCTGGGGGCAGCCGGGGGCCAGCTGGGGGCAGCCGGGGGCCAGCTGGGGGCAGCCGGGGGCCAGCTGGGGGCAGCTGGGGCAGCTGGGGGCAGCTGGGGGGCAGCTGGGGGCAGCTGGGGCAGGGTTCACGGGATAGTTCACTGTATTCAGGAAGAGGGCACAAAGCGAAGGTTGAGTGATAAGGCTAAAACAGTGCTGAAAATCGTGTTATGGTGATGTCGGGAAGCTGCAGCAGCAGTTATCTAAGTCGTTAGAGGTGCACACTGAGTTTAAAAGGGAAAGTCATCAGGGCTCAGGAGGAGCAACAGGCGGTGATTGATAAGTTAAGTGTGCGGAATCAAGTCCTGGAAGTAATATGTAGTAGCCTACAGCTGGGAGCTCATCAGACAGGGGCTTTACAGAAGCATAACAACCGTTTAAACCAAGAAATCGAGATAGCGCAGTTGAAAATACAGGAGCTGCAACAACAATGTGTGGACTTGCAGGGCCTTGCCGAATAACCCACGGCAATAAACAAAACCAGGCAGTAAACCCCACACTGCTTAGACAGCAAGAAATGGCGGTGGCCAAGTACAAACAGGCACGCAGGGATCAGTGGGCTTACGCCTGTGCTGTATGAGGGATTTCCGGGGGGGATGATGATGAGATAGATTGGGAAGATTTGAATGAGGAAGCGGCACAATACCAGAAGGATGAGGGGTATGGGCCACCGCAGAGCGAAGGACAGGCTTGCGCACTCACAACTACCACTCGAATTGGGTGCCCCGGGAACTTTGGAGCCAAACCGATAACTGGTACTAGCGAGACGTATACTCCCTTGTCATCTACGGAGCTGAGGCAGCTTATAACTGAGTTAGGATGCCCGGTGAAATCTAGCCTATCCCTTCCCACATGGTCGCAGCGCTGGCAAGAGTTTGAAGACCGTGTTGGCAATGAGTTTACCAATGCGGACCGTATTCGAGTCTTATTGGCCAACATAAAAAGCGATGTTAAGGGTCGAATGAATCAGTGGCTCTGGCATGAGCCTCAGGTTTTGGTCCAGCAGATCCAAGACGCAATCCGTGATGCGCTGAATATGGGGTATGATCCACATGTAGATTTGACTAGAACCACTGCTAAGCCCCAGGAACACCCAGCGGCATTCCACCAGAGACTGGCGAATCTACGCAGTCACCCAGACTCACGGGGCTGCCATTCCCACCCAGAATCAATGCGAAATGAGTGCCGCCTACTGCACAGTATTTGTTAACAAGCGACCTGAGGTACTGCGTACCACCTTGGGGCCCACCTATGATACTGAGGGAACTGCTTGGGGAGCCCTTATGGGACACCTAAATCGGGCATATCCGGTGGTCATGTGCAAGTTAAAAAAGGAAGAGGAAGACATAGCCGCCGTACGCTGTTCGAGGGGGACCCTAGAGGGGAGCCCCAGGTGTCATGGGTTGAGGGCAATCACGGGGGTAGAGGGCCATATGGATCGGGCTCAAGATCCCGTCCAGGTAACAGCAGTGGGGGAAACCGAGGGGTATGTTTTAGCTGCAATCAGCCTGGACATTGGGCCCATGACCCAGCCTGTCCCAACAAACAGGGTAGCCATGGCAGGAACCCGATAGGACCAGGCTCTACCTCGCCTCACACCGTTGAGTCTCAGGTAGTGAAGTGCATGTCCAAATTGGAGGACATGATGACTCAGTTATTGAACAAGTCTACCAGAGCGCCTGCTGTTGCTGCTAGTGTGGAGGCACCTGCGCCGAGCACCCAATGAAGGTCCTGCAGTGATGGGTCAATAGAGGATAGGATTCCATTTAACGAACCCCTAAGCTCCCGCCCCTTTATTGCCATCACTACACATATGAATAAGAAACAGCTTATGCTGGTTGATTCGGGAGCTACCCATACCATTATCCACTCCCCTGCCCCTGATTCTGACTCCCGGAATTTGGGAAAACAGATATCCATTGCTGGATACGATGGCAAGACAAGTTGGATTAATTGCTCAGAGCAATCCATTTTAACCACCTTGGGGGGGGGTTGATTTACATATTCCGCACCCTTTATTGATGAACATGCCAAATAAAATTCGGATACTAGGCAGCTGTGATATGCGGAATCACGGCGCGACAATAGATTATTCTAACCACTGTCTGTGGATAGGGCCCTTTGACCCCCCTCCGCAAGACAAAATCACAGCATACGTATGTGTAATTGATGACCAACCCAGTACTCAGTGTGTTAAAAAGCCAGAATTGTATGCCCCTATCAGCAGCACCCTTAAATGGGTCCAGAGTTTGATTACGCAGTATGCCGAATTATTTGCCAAACATAAACATGACTGCGGACGGTTAACTGACAAAGAAACGATTAACGGCCAACGCACCCACCTTGTAAACAGTACCCCATCCCCCATGAGAGCCAGCCTTATATCGCCACCACCCTATAATCACTAGAACAACAGGGGATTGTCCGGAGAGGCACCTTCACTACCAATTCTCCTATATGGCCGGTTAAGAAACCGGACGGATCCTGGCGGTTGAACACTGACTACCGAAAGTTGAACCAAGTTACCCCTCCATGCTCTCCCGTTGTCAGTGAGACTCAGAATGTCCTGACTGAAGTTCCGGCCAATGCCACGATTTTCTCCACATTGGATATATCCAATGGATTTTGGAGTATACCCTTGGACCCATGCGATCAGCATAAATTCGCGTTTACCTTCCAGAATCAGCAATACACGTGGACATGCTTGCCTCAAGGGTCTCATAATTCCCCCACCATATTTCATAAGCGGATGGCGTCGATTTTACAACAGTGCCCCCAAACACCCACGGGACGTATTATTCAATATGTCGATGATTTTGCCTAAACGGAATGCTGGGTGACCTTTCTTGATATCTAACATTGTCATTCGCATACATGTGGAAGTTGACCCCATGTTTGCGGATGATGTCACCAAGAGGGAGCATATGGATATTGAAGAGGAGGGGACCAAGGACAGAGACCTGAGGAAAACTGCACGGTGCGGGTGCTAGAGGAGAAATCGTTTGTGGAGATGAATTGAAGGCGGTCTGAGAGGTACGATCTAAAGCAGTCAAGGACAGAGCCGTAAAGATTGAGGTGAGAGGAGAGGCGGTGGATGAGAATAGAGTGGTGTTGAAGGCAGCAGAGAGGTCAAGCAGGACGAGGAGGCAGATTTGTCACTTTGACCAGAGCTGCTTCTGTGCTGTGGGCGGCATAGAAACTCGATTGGAATGGTTTGTGAAGGGAGTGGCGGGAGAGGAAGGAGTGAAGCTTGGAAGCAACAACTCGTTCCAGGATCTTGGAGAGGAAAGGGAGGTTGGAGATGAGACGGTAGTTTGAGAGCAGAGATGGATCCAGGGAGGGTTTTTTAAGGAGCGATGATGGCCGTTTTTAATGGGATGGGATCAATACCAGTGGACAGGGAGAGGTTTATGATGTCTGTAAATATTTGCTTAACGTAACTTATTCAGAAAGTGTTAGGGTCACATACCACACTGTCCTTGAGTATTATTCAGGAAAAAAATTTCCGCGATTCTGATTCTAAAGTTATTTTGAAAACCAGTAATGGTTGTTCGGATCTCAGATATTGAAATATATATGCTACCAACCAATTCTGAAATGTTAAATCCAAGTGAATTGTAGGGAAAATTCACAGGCATTCCATTAACAGCTACCTGTAAGAGAATTAATATAATTTTATTTTTCAGGAACTAACCAGACATATCACAATTATCTATAAAATAAATTCCATTTTTATATTCTTGCAGATAGCAGAGAGAAAATGTCTACCCTAATCACCTGAGCTAGATTTAAACCAAAATACTGAACCAACATTGTAGGGGACATTGTAAAATTGTTATGATACACTGGGGCCCATTTCACGAGGAAGGTTTTGCAAGAAAATATTGAACATTATTATAAATTCAATGGATGCAAATCATTTTGGCTCAATAGAAAATCCCCCCTAAAGGCCCTTAAACCTCTTAGGTCTTGAACGCTGGACTCTAGTGCTTTTTAATGTTACATTATATAAGAGTTTGAATTTGCACTTGGTGCCAGATGACAAATTTCAGCACTTACTCCTTCTGCCCTTCATGAATTTTTAAATATGTAATATAAATCAGATTTCCTATTCCTAATCACTTTACTGATGAAAGATAATGAATTGCACCCAACAGGGTAAATAGGACACTGAAGTGCTTTTACTGTGACATTTGGTCTTATGCACATTTGTGCCACAGAAATGTTGTTTATTTAAACCAACAATCACATTAGATTACTTGATTTTTTTCTGTGGATCACTTGATTGACTGATAGGTAACAGTTAAATTATCTGCCTTGGAATGTATCATACCAAATCTTGTCACAGTGAAGAATCTTAATAATAATCCTTGCATTTGATATAGCACTTTTCATATCTTCTAGACGTCTCAAAGCGCTTCACAAAATATGCTGTAAAGTGAATTGGCGTATATTTGTGGGCGAAACGCGGCATCCAATTGCACACAGCAGTGTCCCACAAACAGTTGTGGATTGAAAATGACCAATTTATTATTGTTTTGTTTTGGAGGGATTATTATTAGGCGTGTGGAGTAAGGAAACTTGCCCAAGGTTTCGCCTTGCCTGGAATTGAACTCAGGTCTCTCGCTTGCAAAGCGAGTGCTCTAACCACTGAGTTACAGAAGGTTTAACAACGAGTGAGTTAAACACTGACGTGCACAGTTGTGTTCAAATTGTCTTTCAATCCTGGATGAACTAATTAGAGTCCACGTTGTTGTAACTTGTGTTTAACGAGAGCATGTACTGCTTACCGTAATTTTATTTCCAGTTGAAAAATGCAAGACATTTCCTTTGAAGTAGATAATTAATGTTTTTGGACAAGATTTAGGCACTTGCTTTAAGCAAAAATAATTATCCAGTATAACCGAAAAATTGTATTTCGGAACTATTTCTTCCACAAGAACGTATGTACAATTTTCAAAAAAGTTGTAATGCAGTCTATCAAATGTACGATAATGTGGATCTCCCCATACTTGACATTCACCTAAAATAAAATAAATAATATTTTAGAAAAAAAATCATTCAAACGTTTCATTTTTCTCCCTTGTCTCCAGTAGGTGCAGACACAGACTGTGATAGTTTCATCGATATTGGTCCTCCTCCAATACCTCACTTGTCTATCCCAAGCTTGGACCTCCTACACTGAATAACACCATTTCACATTGAGCAGTGTTTAATAATGAATATTTTAAGTGAGATATTGCGGGTTTGGGTTCAACAAAAACATAATTTGAATAGATAAAAGATACTAACAGTCACACTCCCATTTCGCACAGCATCCATTTTCAGATGGTACTCTAACGGGTCCAAGACCACTGAGACACACAGGCTTCTCAGAAACTTCACATGAGTCATAGCTGATGTTATAGGTTTCTTCTTTCACACAAGTAAAAGTTGTGCAGTTTTCTCTCCATGTTTCATTACACTAGGAAAAAAAACAAGTTAAGATTAGAGTTAGAAAGCATTTTAATCAGGTTTCTTGTACTTTTGAAAATAGTTTCATATGGTGCATGAAAAAAATCAAATTAACTTGTATGACTCTAAAAGGCATCAATTAATACTGCAACAAGCTGTAGTGTTACATTACTGGTGGGTAAATTATTGAGAAAGTATTGAGTATGAAGTCACTGAGTATTCAGTGAGTAGCGAATGAGAGTATAAAGTGAGTGAATGAATCAGCGAGCAAGTGATCCTGTTTCTGTCTGTCTAACCATCACTTAATAGGATTGATGTAAAATAACCAGCTGACACTGAAGTTCTTTCATTATTGTTCTTAGAAAGCATGAATTTTGAACGTCTGCCCAGTACCACATCAATCTTTTAAAAATTGGTTTAAAATGTATTACCTTTCTTCGTGGTATTGAATTACAATAACATTCTTCAGTTGGTGGGGTAGTTGCAGTATTTATAGTAGTCCTATTGCTTGAATGTATTATGTAATTAGCATCTTTGGTTGTGGCTGCCGTTGATTGTCTAGATTCACAGCATACTCTAATTCTGTAGTCCAAGCACATCAAGTGATCCTCTGAATTCCGTCCATTGTAATTACAAACAAGTCCCTTTTTTATATCACATGTTACGTTATCCTCTGTTTCACTAATTGGAAGATTGGGGAACTTGAGAGATTCACATTGAATGTTAGTAATATGTGTAGAAGAATTACAGATTGTGCTACGTATTGGATCCAATAATTCCTCATCATTTTTTTTTGCAAGACTTGGCACATTTGTATTGATCCATTCAGTCCATATACCATGACAAAACATCCCTGTAAAACAAGATACAAAGTAAATAATGAATATGATATTTAAATAAGGTATGACATTTTCATGGGCTGATTATATTTTTATGCAAAGCTTGCAAATGATTTTTAAAATATATATATGGTCATCATCACCAATGTTTGACAGTTTGTGGAACATTGCTATATGCAACTGGCTGCTATATTTTTACTGTATATCCTGTGAAGTTTCAAGGCACTGGTTAGTGAAAGGTTTGCACCTGAGTTGGGAGTTGGAATCAAGCGGGGTGGAAGTCAAGGGCTAGAAGTGGGAGGATGACCGAAGGCATGGTTGAAGAGGAAGATCTTGAGAAGGGCCTTGAAGCGGCAAGGAGGAGGCAAGGTGGAAGGGCTCAGGGATGGAGTTCCAGAGGGTGGGGGCAGAAAGGCTGAAGACCCGACTGCCAATTGTGGAATGGGCAGGATGGGGTCATGGAGCAGGGCCTGTGCCTGCCGGGCAGAGGGAGTGGAGAAGTTTGTAACATCTTAGTCAGTCACAGAGATAGGGAGGAGCAATATCGTGGAGAGCTGTAAAAGGGAGGACAAGGTAATTGAGCTCAATTCTCCAGGGAATGGGGAGCCAGTGAAGCCAGGCGAGGATGGGAGTAATCGGCTCACAGAGTTTGATATGGGAGAGGACACAAGCTGCAGGGTTCTGAATAATCTGCAGCTTGTGATGGCAAGTCCAACTCACAAATAATGAATGTGGTCAACTTGGTGCTGAAACAATGTTTCTAAAATTGGCAAAGAAAGTGTTAAATGTTTATTTTTTTTTAAAATGTATGATTTTCAAATTGGGTACTGAATTACGTTTTTCTCTTCTGGACAATTTGTTCCCGATCCAAGGACCCATGAGCAATTTCTCATAGATAAATGTAGTGAGTGAGCGTTGGTAGGATATTCCACCAGCACAAGATCAAATTAGAGATTCAGATAAGGAAGGCCATTAGATCTCACCCTTCCAGAGAATACCAATCTTATTTTCCCATTACAACATTATGCTGTTTTGAAAATAGTTCAGCGTTTGGGTTCAACAACCTTTTCTGGGAATCAGTTCAATTCTGATTAATATGGAAAACAGATAAAGGTTTGCCCTAAATTCATCAATCACAGCTCTGAAACTTTGCCCCCTTGTTCTGCTGCCTCGACACATCTAGAACTATTGTTAAGAAATATTCTGTTCGTGGAAAATCTGTATTTCTGATATGTGCTTTTTTCTATCTTTACCAATATACATTCAAATGCAGGAACCCAAATCCAATCTATGACTCTGTATTTCTGATATGTGCTTTTTTCTATCTTTACCAATATACATTCAGATGCAGGAACCCAAATCCAATCTATGACAACAAGGACAACAAAAAAGGCATGTTGATGTGATATATTGAGAAGTTCTTTGTTCAAATCTATAAGGACTACATCTTCATGATTTCTCAACAGATAATTTTCTAACTTAAAGATCATTGGACATTTTATATGCAAGTCAACATTGTACCATAGCTTGATGTTTGTTCTTATGAGATGGAATTTTTGCTGCTAATGAAAAATAAGTTAATTCTCTTAATTATTCTCTTATAATAATAATCCTTGCATTTGATATAGCGCATTATCATGTCTTCCGAGACATGTCAAAGTGCTTCACAAAATATACTGTAAAGTGAATTGATTATATTTTTTGGGCAAAACACACCAGCCAATTGTGCAAAGCAGTGGATTGAGTAACCAAATAATTACTATTTTGTTTTAAGAGATTATTATCCCCCCAAAAGCAATCCACCAATCAACTAACAATGGATTCCTACTTACTGCTAGGTAAGTATGGTGTAAGGATACTTAGCCTAAGGTTTCGCCCTGCCCAGCAATCGAACCCAGGTCCTCTTGTTTGCAAGGCGAGTACTGTAACCACTAAGCTACAGAACTCCACAACTATTTACACTTGTTGGAAGGTCAGATGCAACTGTCCTTTGTAAAACTTACAAAGAATATGATAATATTCTTATCATACACAAACAATATTATCAGTAAGAAATGTCTGTTTACAGGACTTTACTTTGTGGAAATTGGCTGCTGTACTTACTTACAAAAGTGACAGTAAGTCCTGTGAAACGCGTTGAGACATCCTCTCAACATAAAACGGAAATCAAATGAAATCAAATGCAGGGATTATTATTAAAGGCACAAGCAACACAAGAAATAAACAGAAGCATTTCACAACTAGAAGAATTTCTTGCACTAAACGTAAAGATTAATGCACATCAAATAATGATTCTGAAATAAAATTGATATTGTTATTGATGTATATTCCAAGCATATTTGGTAATTGTACTCCAGTGAAAGTGCATCACTGTTGTACAATAAGGTATTTACCTGCCACACTGGTTATTAAGGCTGCAATTGGTTGTCCTAAAGGCAAAAGGAAACATTCTAACATCAGTAGATGAGATATTCAGTTTTGGTGTCAACTGTGCTTTGTAGGCATCTACAACAGGAATTTGGTGAGAGTGCAAATTCGGTGCAGAAAGGGAAGGAGGTGCTCACATTAAAAAAATCAATTAATTAGTAGAAAATAGCAGCACAGGCAGTGTGGGAGAATGTGGGAGTTTGTACACAGTGAGACTGTCTCGGATGAACACAACTGTGGGAAATGCAACGTCTTGAGTCACTCCGGCTCAGAGTCTTTGAGCTGGAGTGCATGTTAGAGACACTCTGACACATAAGAGAGGGGGAGGAATATCTGGACAGTTTACTCCTCAACACAGTCACAGTACATAGAGAAAGATGGGCACAGGAAGAGAAGTGTGTGACTGACATACAGCAGGGTAGGGGCAACCTTGTGGAGTCAGAGGAGGAACCACAGGAACTGGTCCTGACCAACAGGTACGATGTCTTTGCTCCATGTGACAGCAACATTGGAAAGAACAGGAAAGAAGAGAACTGCTGAGTGAGTATCAGGAGCTAGGAACTAAATTAAAAAACAGGACCTCAAGGGTGGTGATCTCCGAATTACTACCTGAGCCACATGCAAATTAGCCCAGAGATAAACAGATTGGAAAAGTAAATGAGTGGCTGAAAGAGTCATGGGAAGGAAGGGTTCTATTTCATGTGTAATCCATAGTGATGTAGTGGGGGGAAATGTATAAATACAGAGAACAGGGGAGCTTGCAGCAAAAGCAATATGGTTACAAAGGAAGATTTTAATTTTCAAATAGACTGGGAAAATCAGAATACTCAAGTAGGCAAGGCAACAAATTTCCAGAATGTATTCAGGACAGTTTTCAGTATGTTTTAGAACTGACAAGGGAACATGCCATACTAGATTTGGTGATGGGTAGCAAACCAGAATTAGTTAACAATCTGACAGTAACAATAATAATAATAATCCTTGCATTTGATATAGCACTTTTCACGTCTTCTAGACATCTCAAAGCGCTGCACAGAATATACTTTAAAGTGAATTGACAGTATGTTTGTGGGCGAAACACAGCATCCAATTGCGCACAGCAGTGTCCCACAAACAGTCATGGATTGAAATGACCAATTTATTATTGTGTTTTTTTCTTGAGGGATTATTAACAGGCGTGTGGAGTAAAGAAACTTGCCTAAGGTCTCTCCCTGCTGGGAATCAAACCCAGGTCTCGCTTGCGAGGCGAGTGCTCTAACCACTGAGCTACAGGACTCCACTAAATGGTAAGGGAACAACTTTTAAATAGTGACCATAATATGATTGAATTTGATATAAGGTTTGAGCGGGAGAAGGGAGAGTCGCAAGCCAAGATTTTAAAATTAAGTAAGGCAAACTTTGAAGCGATGAGAAATAAATTAACTACGGTAAACTTGGCTGACCTGTTAATGGATAAACCCACGGACATACAGTGGGAAGTATTCAAAGAAGAATTTGGTACAGTACAAAACCAGTACATACCCCTAATACACAAAATCTCCTCTTGTGTAGTTCAACAACAATGGTCGACAAATGAGGTAAGAGGCAGCATCAAACTAAAATAAATATATTAATTCAAGAAAAAGTGGAAATCCAGCAGACTGGGAGACTTATAAAAAGTAACAAAGAGATACAATGTAAGTAATAAGAGGTGCAAAAAGAAATATGAGAAAAAACTTGCAAGGGATATCAAGGGCAACAGTAAACGTTTTTATAAATATATTAAGAGAAAGAGAGTGGCAAAGGTGAATGTGGGCCCATTAAATATAAATGTAGGTGAGACTATAATGGACAATAAAGAAATGGATGAATGAATTGAATGAATACTTTGCTTCCATTTTCTTAGTAGAAGAAGAGGACAAATTATCAGTGGTACAAGGGAATCTAAAAATAAGTCAGAGAAGTACTAAGTGGATTTAATATAAATAAAAATATGCTAATGGATAATATGATAGGACCAAAGATAGACAAATCTCCAGGACCTGATGGATTACACCTCAGGGTTTTAAAGGAAGTAGGGGAAGAAATTGCAGTCCATTATTCGATAAGGGAAGGAGGGAGAAATCAGGTAACTACAGACCTGTCTGAAAGGGTGGTGGAAGCCAATTCGATAACAACGTTTAAGAGAGAAGTTGTAAGTGGATTTAATTTTGGAGTAGTAAGTGGATTTAATTTAATTTATTTGGGGAGGAATCATTTGCAGGGCTATGGAGAAAGAACGGGGGAGTCGAATTGATTTGGATAGTTCTTTTCAAAGAGCTGGCCCAGATACAATGGTCCCTAATGACTTCCTTCTGTGCTATATAATTCTGTTTGTATCCTAACTTCAGTTGTGGGGAAGTTACTGAAATCTCTCATCAGAGACAAGAGTGAATGAGCATTTGAACAAGCATGAGCTCATCAAAGAGAGTCAGTATGGATTTATGAAGGGTAGGTCATATCTGATGAATCTAACTGAATTTTTTGAGGAGGTCACTAACATTGCAGATAAGATAGATGGATGGATGGTCTTTGTGCATGGATTTGAAGGTAACATTGCGACCTGACTTGGTAATTGGTTAGGAGACAGGAAACAGAGATAAAGGGATCATTCTCTGATTGGCAGGACGTGACAAGTGTCATTCCCCATATTACATATATATATATATATATATAAATGACTTGGATGAAAGAATTAAGAGTTTTATATCAAAATTTGCAGATGACACAAAGTTAGGAGGCACAGTAAATTGTGTAGATAGGAGCAGGAAGACACAAAGGGATTTAGATAGATTAACTGAATGGGCAAAACTGTGGCAGATGGAAATCATTGTGGGAAAGTGTGAGGTCATCCACTATGGATCCAAAAATAGCAAAACAGAATATTTTCTAAATGGGAAGAACTAAGAACTGTGGAGGAGCAAAGAGATTTGGGATCCACGTTCACAAATCACTGAAAACAAGCTCACAGGTGCAAAAAGTTATCAAAAAAGCTAATGGGGTGTTGACCTTTAACTCAAGGGGGCTGGAATATAAAGGAGAGGAAATGATGCTTCAACTATATAGAGTCTTGATCAGACCCCACCTGGAGTGCTGTGTTCAGGTTTGGGCACCGCACCTCAGTAAGCATATATTTCTGGAGGGGGTCAGCACAGATTCACCAGAATGAATTCAGAGATTAAAGGGTTGAATTATGAGGGCAGGTTGTTTAATTGGTCTCTATTCCCTTGAGTTCAGAAGATTGAGGGATGATCTGATTGAGGATTTTAAAATAATACAGGGATTTGATAGGTTTGATACAGAAAAACAATTTCCTCTGATCGGGGAATCCAGAACAAGGGGGCACAATCTTAAAATTAGAGCTAGGCCATTTAGGAGTGAAATCAGGAGGCAGTTTTTCACCCAAAGGCTAGTGGAAATCTGGAACTCTCTCCCCCAAAAGGCTGTGGATGCTGGATCCATTCACATTTTCAAGATGGATGTAGATAAATATTTGCTAGGTCAGGGTATTAAGGGATATTGGGCAAGGGCGGGTAACTGGTCTTGAGGTATAGATCAACCATGATTTTATAAAATGGCGGATCAGGCTTGAGGGGCTGAATAGCCTACTCCTGTTTCTATGTATCTATGTATAATGCTCATTAAAACGCTATTATGGATGAAGTTGAAACAGTACGTTTTAAACAGTAAAAGCATAATGCTTTTCAGCAAGAATAAAAGATGATTTGTGTGAAAGACATTATATTAGGGTTAGAATGGCTCATTTAGCCTGTTGAGTCTGTTTTGTCATTTTATTAGATCATAGAAGACCTATAGCAGATCTTCTAATCCCGTTTCTCCAACTTTTGTTCAATACACACCTTAATAACATTTCTTGACAAATACCTCAATCTCTGTTTTAAACATCCCATTTGATGATATTTTTATGGCCTCTATGGAGTAAATGCATTCTAAATTTTAATAATCTTCTGTGTGAAGAAATGTTTTGTGATTTAACTTCTGTCTTAGCTCTAATCTTAAAACATTGACCCCTTGTCTTTGTTCTCTCTACCAGAGGTAAGAATCACCCCCATATTGCTTTTCTCATTATTGTAAACATCTCAATCACATAAGCTATTGGAGGAGCCCAGGTTTTCCCAATCGCTTATCATAGCTAACTTACAATAACTTACTTCTTCGAAAGATTGCTAAATCTTCCCAAGTTAGGGCACCCAAAATGGAATACAACCAGTCTGACCACCAGTCTGTACAAGTGTAGCTGCACTTTCTTGCATAATATTCCATAATTTTGCCATTACAGTTTTCTGCACCTGCAAACTAGTTACAATGTTAGATACTTAGAATTGTTAACCTCCTCTCCCATGCTTCCTTCAAAATATATTCCCATCCATCATTTAAATATGCAAAGTTTATTAAATTACAGTTTGCTATTTTGAACTCTATCACCACCGTTTTCCCCATGCCTTTAATCCACGTAATTCCCTTTGTAATTTTCAGTCTACTACATCACTTAGTGTCCTCAGCAAACTTAGATAAACTCCCCTCTTTTCTAACATCCAGGTCATTTATATATAGTATGTAAAGTTGAGACCACAGCATAAATTCCAAGGGACACCAGTGTTTGTACAAAATTACATCAATTACCAGTTTCTCTGGTTCCACTAAATAGAGTTGTGGCTGTCAGTTCTAAATGGGATAGAATTATATTTTAAAATACAGGCATGTTACCAACGGCATGCTATCGTTTGTTGATCGTTATCAATTATCAAACCAATTATAGGAACAAGGAATGAATATTTCATCAGCACAAACAATAAGACCTCTTTTGGTCAATAAGTCTACATGAACACACATGCATTGACAACTTTCAACTAAATTCATTCTGTTTGAGGAACACATTAGTTTTGTAGGTACTAAACGTGATTCTTACGAATCTTGGATACATCAGTAAATGTAGTTATGGTTGTTGACTCAGTTTTCCTCA